CTATTCTCGTCGATCGTCTCATCGATCGATCGCCAGAGGGCGCTGCGGTAGCACATTGGCCTATCACATGACTATCAAAATGGCAGACAACAAAATGATTGCTAGTGAAATAAGAACATTTTCTCAACAATTTCAATTTTAGTTGTTAATAATTAAAAGATATTCGGTTGTAGGGACATTATTTTCTAGTTGTGCTTAACTCTGACCATGGCTGGCCGAGTTAAAAATTACCGCGTGATTGACAGACAGAAGCACGTGTTGCTACCGCAGCGCCCTCTGGCGATCGATCGATGAGACGATCGATGAGAATAGTTACACGATCGACGAGATTAGACGATCGACGAGAATAGTTACACGATCGACGAAAACAGTTTGACGATCGACGAGATTAGTTACACGATCGACGAAAATAGTGACAGCATTGGTTTTAATACACCATAGATGAGAAATGTTTGACAATTGAATTGACGAAAGTAGATGTTGAATTTATGCCAGGATCGTTTAAACTTGAAACTGAATCGATGGGAAGGCAGTGAATCGACGAAACATAACTGAATCGACGACATGAATTTTTGCCCTTTTGGCCGCCCATATGGAGTTCATCAGTTTGCATTCATATCTGTCGTGTGTATATGGTCCTCATCTATTTCCTTTTGTTGTTGCACAAGTTCGACAAACATTTTTCAAAGCAACCGCGGCCGCCATTTTCGTTCTCTCCAACTTATTACTGCGCATGCGTCCAGGTGTCAGAATCTCCTCCGAGCGCAACCAAGATCTAATTACAGCTTTGGAAGTAATTAGCTCGATCTGCTAGTTAATTACGCAGCATGGTATTCAGGGCACAGACCGTGATCACTAGATACCGCCAATGGATTTTTGGAATTTGGATTTTTCATGTGAACGGTGCCTAAGCTACTTTGCTCTACATGCTTGCTTTACATGCAAACAAAGCCTGTGCAGTGGGGCGTTTTACCAATGTAAATAGGGTGGAAGGATCGACATTTAAAAAATTTAATCTATACATACGCAATAAAAATTTCCAAACATGTTAGTCACTTTAAAAAATGCAAAAAAAAAAAAATAATAATAATAATAAAAAATAATAATAAATAAACAAATAAATATATATTCATGCACTTATTGCTCACAATGTTTTATTTGATTTTTTTTTTACTTACATGCAAGTAGAATACATGATCATCAACCATAGACTTGCCCTTCAAGAAATCGACGGGAAATAGCACATTTTCAAATTGAATGGACGCTATATAAAAAGTATATAAGCTCAAGCTCTCAAATTTCACACATAGGTGCGACATCATGTAAAGAATAAGTGTTGCAAATTTCATTAAAATAGTTTGTGTAGATTTTGAGATAGAACGCTCTGAATGTGCTGCAAACAATAATGCTTACGCCTTCAAGATCTCGACGAAAACCGGAAGTGCATCGTGACATCATTCCATGGTGTTTGGGAAGTTGCTGATTTTCTGGTGAGAAGGACTTTGTTTTTTATCAAAAAATTAAGTAAATGACTTTGCAAACCCCACGTATTGTTTTTTTCAAGTGAAAAAAGCTATTTAAGACTACGTTGTGTTTTTTCAATTCGATTGATATTTCAGTGTTGTCTCATGTTTTCATATCATTTCAAGAAAGTGCAAACGCTTCACGAATTCGGCTTTTAATACTGTTTGGAGTGTGTGAAGCATCATATATGCTTGTTGAAAGGGTATTCGAAATTAAACTTTTAAAGTAAAGGTACTGAGAATGAACTCAAGACCCACAAATAGTGTCTGGTCATAATGGGATTTTACTTCTCTCAAAGACCACATGTTTGCACTACAATCATACAAAATAGGCCTAATTAAGTATACTGCCCCATTTTGATCAAAACGGAGAAAAGAATACACACATGTTATCATTTCCAAGAAAACAATGTGACAGAAAAACAAACAATCACAGATGACAGACATGAATCATCTAGCAAATGAAGGGGCACAAATTTATGTACATTACTATATCTGTAATATTAATCTTCCTAACCAAACATGTACTGCAATGATAACTCTGTTCAACACATGGAATAACTTCACACAGATCTTATTAAAACATTATGATTTGGAAAACAAATCTGCAATAAACAAATAAACAAACACAGACTACGGGAGTCCCTTTTCTTCAGTAACGACCACAGCTCGGCAGACAGATCAAGGGACACAAAAATTATTTACATTAGGCCCTACATTATAAATGGCTCTTAGAAGTAATTCTTATTGGTGCTATGAACACAATTAATAACAAGTATATGTGTGTTTGTTTCGTGTACATATGTCTGTTTAAAACTTTTGTGGTAATAATAATAATGATAAACAATGAACGTTAAAAAGAACTCAACCAATATTTCTCTTTTATTCGGATAACTGCCAGCAGTTATAACACAGAAAAACGTCCAAAAATGTGGGGATTTTAGCGCAAGAGAGTTGTTCTTGTACATATAAACTCATATACCTCCTCCACCAACTCAGTTGTGCTACTGCTTGGTGGCTCCAAACCATTACACATGCTGCAGATCGGTGCCGTCCGATAGGGTGTACTTGGCGCCTCGGTTCCTTCCCGTGGTTCTTCAAGGAAGAAATTTCCCTCTGCTACGATGCCTTCTTTCTTTGCCTTCTTTTCATCTGCTTTCTTTCTTATCTCTTCTTCTCTTTCTCCTGCATCCTTAATTATTTTCTACGTTTCACCTCCAAGGCCTTCTGTGCCTTTCGATCTCGTACCTCAGCCTTCTTCCTCTACCTCTCTTCGCCTGCTCTTTTCTTCTCCTCCTCCATTCTTCACTTAACAGCATCTTCCTTTTTCTTCTGCTTTTCTTCAACAATCCTTTGGCTTTCTTCCTCTCTTCTTCTTTTTTCTGCCATCAATTCGTCCGACGTCAGATCTTCTATAATCTGTTGCAAATCTTCTTTTTCTCAAGGGCGCCCCTTCTGCTGGTACAATCAGCACTTTCGTGATGGCTGGAGACACTCTGCCCATCTCCACCATTGGGTGTTGCTCAACCTTGCATATGTGACCACAGTAACAGACAGGTGTCTTGTCAGTAGAGTCTGTTTGCGTCATCGAGTCTGTCTTGTCTGTCAGCTGTCCATTGTCATCGTAATATGTCTGAGTGGTTTGGTCTTTTCTCTCTTCGTCATCACTGCTGCACTCCAATATGAGGCTGTACACGTCTCCATTTGTCTTTGTCTTCTTGCATATGTGACCACAGTAACAGACAGGTGTTGTGTCAGTAGAGTCTGTTTGCGTCATCGAGTCCGTCTTGTCTGTCGGCTGTCCATTGTCATCGTAATATGTCTGAGTGGTTTGGTCTTTTCTCTCTTCGTCGTCACCGCTGCACTCCAATATGAGGCTGCACACATCTCCACTTGTCTTTGTCTTCTTAGGTGCTCTGTTATTTTCTATGAATTTGTCAGCCTTTATTGCCTGTGGGTTGAATGGATATACCCCTGTCATTTTGAAAGATGCTGCTACTTTTACTGGTGTGAGTGCTCTCCTTCGTGCAGATTTAAAAATTGCTGGAAAAGTTGCTTTAGTGATAAGAAGGTTTTTCTGTAAAAGACTGGCAGATTTTGCAATTTTTCTATACTCCAATTTTAGGTCTTTAAAAATTTGATCCAGGGGTTGTAAAAAATGAGAAGTGTAGGCTGAGTTATTAAATAAAATGATGTCGTTTTCCTTAGCACTGTCAATAAGACCTTTGGAAGCATGAGCTGTTAGGTTGTGTTGAAACAGTATCAGGGGCCTGGCAGAGGGGGCGTGTTTCAAGAAAATTTTGACAAACCATTGCAAATACATGTTAGAGTCTATGTACCCCGACTCAGAGGAGCCATAAAGGGCGTCCTCCGGCCCTTGCTGTGTGGCTTCTGGTGCTGGGGGACAGCCCTCGAATATAATCATCGGTGGCAGCAGCTGGCCAGCAGCACTACCACACTCCACGACCGTAACGTGGTTGGCATTTGTTACCTCCCTCTCACATGGGAACTGCTTTCCCTTCTTTGCGACAACTTTCACACTTGCTTTAGATTGAAAATATGTCTCATCTGCATTGTAGATTTCACTCGGACCGGTAATATTGTGCAGTGCGAGGGTTTCTTTTAATAAATCAAAATGCGATTCTGCAATCCAAGGCTGTGCCATGACGGCTCTGCCTCTGAAAAATAATTTTCTTGAACGGTTAGAGCACAGCAATTTTGCCTTTATGTACCTTTAACACAATTTCTTTGTTAAATGGAGGAAAAAAGCCCACACTCATATGTGAACATTTTAGGTAGTAATAAATTGAATTTGCAATGAATTATTTATTATAATTATTACAATCATTACAATAATTATTACAATCATTATTATTTTCAGTCACGGGCACACCTATTGATTAATCCCGGCTTTCTTAGAGAGAGCTTGGGGTGCCTTTGTCTTAGGCGCCACCACCATCCATCCGACGCAAGAAACTTGACAGTTGGGTCCCTTTCTTTCATAATTGCTTTGGCAAAGTGCCCCATCAGGTCTCTTGTCAGAGGAAACCCCCAGTCTGCCATAAGCATGGCATAGGCTATGAGGGTCTCCTCGTCGTCTGGGGTCATTATAGTATTTTTCTTAGGTGTACCCTTCAGTCTTCCTTTTGTGATAGATAAAAAGAGACAGAGAAATGAAGTGAAACAGAATAAATCTTGAAAGCAAGACAGGAAAGAGAATTTGGCCAAAGCAAGAATTAAACAACAAATACTCATAAAAACTTAAAAAAGAAAACTTTTTTTATTTACAAAATAATTTACGAAGTTTTATTAAGTTTTTCTTTGTTTTTATTATTATTAATACCAACAAAAATGCAACTCATACCGTCATTACCAGCATATGCTCATGAATATTGTTCACCGATTCATTACTTTTATAGCCACTACACGTATATTCTAAGCTTCGGTACCTGACACATGGTCACCAATTGTTGTTACTGGCACACCAAAAGCGCATGACGCTTCAGTCAACGTGTACGTGCCTTCTTGCACAGACAGAACAGCTGCATCTAATTGTTCTAAGTTATATTTCCATGGCATTCTGAAAACTGATTTGACATTTTTGGGTGTAATTAATGGTGTTTTAAAATGTAAACACAGATGATTTGAGCTTTTGAGACAAACAAACAGAATTAAGCTACATCCTTTGCTAAAGTTGGATATTCTAAAGGATGTTTTTTAAATTTAACTCCAAGATCAGTTACGTAACCTGTCTTGTAACATTACTATTGTAAAGGTCTCTAGCGGCAGTTCACCAAACTACTACAACTGTACGTGTATGTATGTTGCCACACATTTTATTGACTCAAACAAGAAAATAATCCTAACTACAATTGATTGGGACGATTACAAAAACAAAGGACATCATTTGGATACTTAAGATGCCTTTTTTCAAGGTTGGTGTTCATCACTAAGTTTGAAGCAATGTGTTCAAAAGCTATGTACATTGTACCTGTAATACTATGTCGGTACTACAGAGGTTATAAACATCCAGAGTATAGAGAATTACGGCAGGGATAACATGTGGAAAACATCAATCAGCCAGTAATGTTTCTAGCAAAGGACACGCATGGATTTTAAAAATCTAGATTATATAAAGCAGATGAATGTGGCATTTTTCTACTTCATTTGAACTTGCAAAGTTTCACCGGCGACAATAAATAATGAGAAACTAAATTTGAGATACTCATACGAAGGATGAGCAAATAATAGGCATCGACAAGAGCATTAAAGTACAGAAAATTACGTAAGTAAAAAATATTTCTGTTCAATTTACATCTCCTACAACATGTTTAAGGTCGTTGTCAACGCTTTTTGTAATATACACAAAAGTTGAAATGTTGCGTTCGATACTTTGTATCAGACGCTACAACTTACTTGACAACGCAGGAAGTTTACGCAAAGCATGCCGGGAAAAAATAGCGAAAAAAAAGCACGTACTTCCGGTTTTTGTCGATTTCTTGAAGGCGTCGATTTCTTGAAGGGCGAGTCTAGGCATGTTCCTGATATGCTGTGATACAACAGAAAAGTTTTAAAAAAATATGTATAACTCTGATACTGGAAATTACATTAGCAACTGACCGACATAGTGGTCTCAACTTGAGACCTTTCACTAGGTAATGACCCAGATGGACTAGTCACCCCATTTGTTGACATATGGCTAGAAATAGTCTCCAGGGTCCAGTCCCATTTGTATGAGAAGTAAAACCTGAGGCCTCCTTTCTTGTTGACCGGTAGCATTGAGACTGCAGGGATGACGCATGGGGAGGCCTGAAAGAGGCGGAGAGACCATTACAGGATTAAGTGGTCTTCCTTTCATGTAGGTCTGCCATATTTAGGCCGTGGACCAGCTGGCACTCGGCTCCTCTCATTTTGAATGGCCCCAAATATATGCTTGTTGTGCAAAGCTTTCCATACAAAGGTTGGGACGAGGCACTTGAGACTATGCCCAGTCCTTTATCAACAAAACAGGTGACCAGTCCATCTAGGTTATTACCTAGTGATACGTGCAGGTCTCAGGTTGAGATGACAGCATTGGTTAGTTGCCAATTTAAGTTTCTGTGTAAGACTTATACATATTTCTCTTTCTAAATCTACTGGATCACATTCACCCATCAGAAAAGTTTCTTCTTATTAGAACTAGATAAGTGAATTATAATTTAGACTCTAAACTTGAATCTACATGGAAAATAATCTCAAAGTAATGTTACCAAATTATTATACCTCGAGAGTTTTAAGCATCTGTCGTAGCCTGATTTATTCTCTTCTGTTTTGGTCTACGTGTCAAGTCTGCCCATTTATTTTTCACATAACCAGGGCCAAACATAAGGATTGTGGCTCCAAGGATAAGATTGAAACAGAAGTAAAGAGGATGTCTGATTCTCTCTCTGGGACCGAGAGGGACTCGAGCCATTCGTAATCTGCAATAAACAATACACAAGTTTAATTTCAAAAATACAGCGAAGTAAATGTTTCTTTTCTGACAACTTCTTAGCAGAGTAGATATAACCAAGAATTTTAACACGCGTAATGATATCCTAAAAAGGAAAAAAAATGTAAGATTTAAGACAAATGCTAGTACATGTTGGGATGTGTTTATGTCCTTTATGTATGAGAAAGATGAGCTCGGAAGAGCTGTTTGGGATGTGATATCCTGGTGTTTCCCTATGTAAAGCCTTAGTCACAACTGGACGTAAGGGCCGTTTGCTTCCAAATTTTCCGCAGGATCTCAGAATCTTTAAAAAATTCAAGTTTGCAGACAGCCTGTAAGCAGGCAGGAAGGATATTAGACATGTCCAAAAGATTCTACAAATAATTTGCAAACAGTGAGGCTGCAAGTATAACCTGCTCCTCTCGCAAGGAATTAGGAAGGAGTTTGCAAGTAACACATGCAATTTTAAAGGTACTGAGAAGATAAACCATGATCTATGACGCATGTCGCAAGCAATGAAGGAGCAAGTGCCCTTTGCGTGTTGAGTACAGCTTATGCCTTCACAACTTAAAAAAATCGCACGCACTGCAAGAATACTTCACACAGTTTGAGTCACACCCATGCCAGTAATATAAAACAAAGGCATGTTCACATTGCACACTCTCATTTCACTAGTGGTGGTGGATTGTACACCATGTATTTATAATATTGAGAAATTCAATCTTTGATATGCCTCCAAAAAGAAGGGGTAAGAAAGGTAAACTACATTTACAAAGGAAGGAAGGAGGAAGAAAGAAGGGGAGAAGAGGAGGCCAGTGTGGAGAGGCCGGCAGAGGCAGAAGATGAAGATACAGAAAGAGTAGGTCTTCAAGATTCAGACTCGACCAGCACTTCCACTGGGAAGAGAAACCAACAGCAGACATACAGCTTCAGGGCTAAGGAAGAAGAGAAGCTGGTTGAATTTTTCTCCACCTATGACTGCTTCTACAAGGCATCCCAACAATATAGCAATGTATCATACAAGAAGAAGCTTCTGGAAGGTATAGCCAGTCAACTTGACACAGAATGTGAGTATAAATTTTTATACCAATTTTTATCATTTTTTCATGCTACATTTTTCCTGCATTTTTTTAATCTGCTTATATATGTGGGATAATTTTGTTGATACTGACATTTGCCTTAAGTATGCTGACTTCAGATGACAAGATTAAGAGCTGGTTCAAAAACCAGCAAACTGCTGTTGGGAAGCTTTACAAGAAGATATCTGGCATTGCAGCAGAGACCCTGACTGCAAGGAAGAAGAGGCAGTTGCCAAATTTCAGTTTCCTGAAGCAACACATCATGCCAAGGTTGTACACTCAGGACACAGAATTGGTAAGCATTGCATTTTTCATCTGGCTACGTGTGGTCTTCCTCTTTTTGTCCTCTTCCTGTTATCCTCTTGTGTATACATTATGAGTATTAATTCATAGTCCATTTTATATGTTATTTGTGTTGTTTTATGCTTTATGTTATACAGAGTCAATTATTGTCTAGGAGGAATTCCAGAATTTGGAGTGTAAAACATTTGTTAAAATGGCTTATTACCACACAGGCATGGGCAGTGACACAAGGGAAGTGTGCAAGTACTTGAACAATACAAGTACGTAGAACTATGTCCTGTCATAGATGTCAGTGAGCACTTAATTAAAGAGAACAATACATGTACTTATGGTAGTTATAGTTAAAGCGGACAATGACAAAAGCAGACACTAACAATGTTTACTGGATGAAAATGATTGATTCATGTAAGTTGTACAACTTCCATCCTATATACAATATTACTGCTGAAGTGACAGGCCATGAACTAGTGATGAACAGCAACAGTTAAACTGGACAGGAGGCCGTCAAAATCAATTATTATTGATGATTTGATGATGGGCATGAAGCGCAACGACAGATTTTTCTGCACATGCATTTAACAAGCTATATTCAACAGAATAAGGTGTTGTATAACTTCCTAGTGATGACAAAATCACTGCGTCATCTTAAGAGAAAAGATTGTCAGCGAATGAAACGCTGAAAAACTTACAACTATCTAGCCCTGCACCACAAGCACGCCATCCGCCATGTCGGCTTAGCTAGTTCTACGTCACATGATGACGAAACGTCAAAAATGGCGGACAGCGGTGAGAAAGAAAATCAGCAGCCGACTGAAAAAAGTAAGTATTTCAGATTCAAACTGGCCTGTTAGGACCAAATACACAACCGCTTGTAGACATTTATGACATTGTTAAGAGCAACATCATTGATACGTAGTGTACATCTGGATATTATATGTAATATGAATACACAAGTTACGACGGAAGCTGTAAGCCATGGACAAGATTTGGGGTCAGTTTCAAGTTACATTTGATACCTTTGCAGTCTAGGCATAGCTTAAATGTCTGGATCTACAATGATTTTATTTCTTTATAGCATTTGGTTTTGGTGTTTATGTGTGACAATGGTTTGTAATGATTGTTTATGCGTTTAGTTACATTTGGGAGGGGCAAATAAAACTATCGGTCATAATTCTAACAAATCTCTCTTGCCGTCTTGGTCCTAATAATATCTTTGTTTTAATTGGCAGTTGCACATTTAGTAGTATAGTATAAGTCATCTATGGCATCACCCCTCCCTACTCTACTTATATATGAATATAAAACTAGAGGTGTATGTGCATTACATATTTATGGTGTTGTAAATTGACCCCTTACCAAAATACCAGGCAAAAGAGGGTTATCAGATATCAATTTTGGTGTATGAACTGATAAGTAAATTAATATTGGTCTCAATTATATAATTTTTCTTGCTACAGATGTTTTTGTTTATTTTTAACAAAGTAATCAGTAAAGCTAATGTCTTTGAGTTTGCCTGGGGCTGTCTGTGATGTCTTCTGAAACTTTTTGAACACATGATAATTAATTAATGTGCTCTGTTTCATAGGGCATCTTTTATGTATATCTGTATTTACTGTTTTATTCACATTAAAAATTGTTTAAAACTACAAGCTCCCTCTCTCTTTCTCTCCATCACCCACCCACCCATCCACATGGTTGTGATTGAGAGGTCCAATTTTCACTTGTGTTTCTTTCAGTTTTGGATTTTTGGTATAAATAATATTCCCGAAGGGATTTAAATAAATTATTTGTGGACAAATTTGGACAATCAGAAAGTGAACAAAAAGGATGAATGCTAGCAGCAGAAATTCTCATCTCATTGAAAGTGGAAGTAGAACGTCGTAACATGAAGCTTGCAATATACAGTAAGAAAATATGTGTATCACTTGTACAAATGACTGAAGAAACCCAAATTGTTACATTTAGTGATAATGAAAATTTAACTTTATTGGTTTACATATATATATGAATTATATCAAGATTTGTTTTGCTTATTTGTATAGTAGGAAGCTTTGATTCCAAGTTCTCATGTTAAGAAGTTGCCATTGTGAACGTGTATTACCTGTTTGGTAAACTGCAGGTATTATCTTCAGGTAAACATGGACTGTACTTGAAATATGGAGGATCATAACCTAGGCTGTAGTATCATTGTGCTAATAAATGTCACGGCAATGTAAACATCAGTGGAAATAAGTTAGTTTATTGAAGCAACAGAAGAGATAAGAAAATTCATTCCATTATGCTTATTATATAATAACAAAAAATAATATACTATGAATGATTTTTAATTAAATTTGACCTGTGCCATTGTAAGTTAGCAGTTTTTGGGTTTACTTGTCAGATTGTATGGCGCACAAGCTTATCGGGAGAAAAACAGCTACAATGATTTAATGTCAATTAATCATAACTTGACTCTTCCCACTTTGAATTCAGTCTTTTACAGTTGCTATATGAAAGGAGAAGAAGAAATTATTTGCTTGGTTCAATAATTGGTTGGTGTTGGTGGCAAGAGCGGGAGTTGCCCAGTGTTGCTCGAGCAGGAACACCTTGACTAGTATTTATACTATTTCTAATTAAAGTTATAATTTAGTTCTAAATGTCTGGCCAGATCTTAAAATTCTCATGTCTTCTTGTACATTACTAAAAGAAATACATGAGCTACTTTTATTTGAGGGTTTTTATCATTGTTTAGGTCTGAATTGGAAAAAGATGTGACTTTGCAGGAAAATATACAAATATGAAGACATGGAATACATGACTTTGAGACATTTCAAAGGTGTGTTGGCAAATCATAATGAAGCATACCCCTTTATTTGTAGACAAGAATGGTTTAATATCTATGGTGATGCACATCAAGTTCTCCTCTCCAAGTGTGGTGTAATCAGGGCAAATGGATTAAATTATCCAACTGATTGTCTAGTGTTATTACATATCTTTCAAAATATACAGCAATATCATAATTTATTATATTCCCAATTGTCCCAGTCTCCCAGCAGATGACATTTCAAATTGATTCATATCATTGTATAGGTTTCTATAGCCTGGTTGTCATTTAAGCCATTATGAATGATCAGGAATTAGTTTAACCTGCCTTCTGCTGTGGTTGTTATAATGTTTTGTTACCTGTATTTCTATTGAATATATTACTTCTTCATTTGGCATTTGATGTATCATATGACCACTCAGAACTTCATCAGCCAAGAGGATAGAGAGAATGTCTCTGGGGAGGAAGGAGCAAACAGTTTAGTCAGTGGTGGCCAGGCTGTGTAGAATAAATATTTCACAATGTTTGTCAAGATGAAATGTAAATTAATTGGATTTATGTGAACTGAATCTGAACAGTAGGAATAGTGAGTTGCAAAAGTAGATGTTTTTCAAAGGTTGGTTTGTGGTGTTTTTGTGGTTTAAGTCTAGATTTTCTTTTTAGATATGTGCTATCTCATAGGAGTATTTTATCTGTACATCAACCATCATCTGTCCAGGATGCTGTCATCTTTGCTGTGCAATTTTCTTGGTCCTGCAAAATCTTAATATCAGAAGGAGTGAGTCACTATTTAGTTTTAAACTTTACAAAGTTATCTGTAGAGTTGAATATAAACCATAACGTGACAATCCCATGAAAAAAATAGGCTTTATCATTTTTTTTTATTCTTGGATTATTCTGTATTTTGCTATTGTTGCATTTTGCTGTATTTCAACATTGTGCAGTATATGGAAAATAGAAATTCTGTAGTTTCTAACTTGTTGGATTCAGAATTTCCTGTATGTTTTTTTTCTTTTTTTGTAAAACTCTTATTGCTAGGTGTCTTGTTTCACACATTGTTTTTTTGGTGTTTTAACTGAAACAGCTTGTTTCCTTTAGATGCAGGTACCAATCTATACGTTAGATAGCTCTTGCTATGTTGTATATAAGTTAATGTTCCAATTTTAACTGTTTTTGTAGTAATATAACATGAACAGTTGCTTGGTGAAGTGGCATTATTAATTTTATTAAAGTAATTAAAGCAATAGTTTTCTCAACTTTTAGCAGTTTGGATTGTATCAATATAAAAAGATGTGGATTATATCAAAACAACAGTTTTATGATTGCCTACTGTACAGACTCACTCTGACATAGTAAGGTCATATAGAGTGAAATATCCCTGAGAAATACAAGTCCAATTGTGTGCATGGGATTGCAGAAAGAATAAAGAATGATAGCTATTTCACTTGTAGCACCTGCATTCCAGTCTAGGTCATCTGCTTCAGTGGTATTTTTGCCCTTTCCACATTCATCATATAATCTTTGGGACCCATCTCTATGGTTTGTGTGATAGTGAGAACTGACACACATTTAAACATTGGAAAGGGCCAGTGGCCATTTATTCACCAATACCGAAGTCTCTGTCCTGTTGGATACTGTAATTTTCTACCTTGATGATTGTGAAAGGAGCGATTACTTCATTACTAAAAAGACCTTGCCATGCGGATGTCTCAAGTTCATTGTTTGGTGGGCTGAGGTCCCAAGACTTCTGGCTACAATTATGACATTCGTATCATGTGAGATGTTAGTTATATGCATTGGCAATATTGTTATGATACATGCAAGATGTTTCAGAGTAGCTCTCAACCATTTTGCGCCATATTGTAATGGAAAAAAAAACAGGATTACATAACCCTTGTCATTCAGAACCTTGGTCATGAGATGGTAGCCATACATATTGCAGCCTTATAGGTAATGGTCATGCATGGAATCTTGTAGTCGGAGACAGGCTAGTGGAGTAGCAGTAATAATGCACTCATAAGTACATGTTTGCATGTCTAGGGGTATTCATTTTTATAGATTGGGTGAACCATTCCTGATGAAATTGGGTAAGTCAACTGTGTGCAGTGGTCAGAGCTGATAAAGACTGGTCAGGTAAATAAATACTTCTGTGCATTTTTAAAAGGGGCAATGTTATGATAATGTATTTAAAATTACCATAATTTTTATATGAAGAGGGTGAGACAACAATCACCTGGGCATTTTTTTTCATAAATATCACATTAGTAATTCTGTATTATTTCTATACCAGGAGGTAAAGTTGTTGTTTTGTTATAGAGTGACACAGAATCTCCAGCATGCCAATGTGTGAACAGCTGGCAGGTATTGGTGTTAACATTGGTTCCTTCAATATGTCAGCTATTGCATGTATGTATGTGTTTTTTTTTTTTATTATTTCAGGAAAACACAAGTATGTGCAATCGTCTTACCTAATGTATGATCACGATAATCTTAGCAGTATATCAGAATGCCAGAGCAAGAATTCTGGAACCTCTTTTACGTGTACCTAACATAACTGAGACTCCCAAGCAGTAACAGATTGTGTGTAGCTGTATGTTTATAACATGAGAAATCACTTTCCCTGCTCTACCAGTACACATCTATGACAGTGCATGTGATAGATAAGTTAGCAAGGGGTAACTTAGGTGAAGGGAATCTATCCAATGGCTGGACAATGTGGCATCTGTTGAAGAACCTCTGTAAGGTAAGGTGGCATCCCACATGTACTTGATCTTCTCTGACTTTCAGTATGAGCTCCCTGCCAATTTGTAAGGTATACTGGATATGATAGCAGGTTTGGTTATGCCAGTGATGTGAGAAACAAGTGCAAAGCATAATAAATGTGGGAAATATAGGATTCAATTAATGTTGCCTATCTGCAGATGTTGTACAAATTTCCCATCCTATCAACCTGACGACTGAAAGTCATACATAAGCACATATTGAGATAGGTTGGAATGTATTTGTATCAGAAAAATCATGATAATTACACAAACGGGATGACTGCCATTATAAGGAAAGTCAGCAGTGGAAAATCATATGTTTACAGTAAATGTGTCATATGTTTGTACATAAAAATAATTCTGTCTGGTTTGCTACAGTATAGGAAACATAAGGGTGCTGTCTGTTTTAAGTACAGTGTGAAATTTTGTTAAAACTATGGTTTTCTGCAGTTGTAATCAATTATGAAAGTGTGTCAAATTTAATTCATGTGAATTGATAACTGGAAAGTGAAACAGAATGAAAAACTTGATTAGAAAGTGGCCCATCAAATTGACCTGTTTTGTAGTGACATAAATGCACTCACAATATTTACACCCTTCAGAACATCTTAAAGAAGAAGGTATGTAGTAAATTTGATGTTTTAACTTCTACAACATCCACATCCACAAAGTAAAAAAGTATTGTACATTCAGGTACGTGTGAGGTATGCTTCAAATTTGAATTTATGAAAAAGTTGATATGAAATTATAAACTTTACAAACAAGAAAACAGGCATGCTCTATCAGCCAGGGTAATCAATCCACTGCTACTGTAGTCTTCCAACTATGATTTCACTCTTTCTGCAGAAACCATATCACATGATGAAGTTTTAATTTCCAGTAATCCAGGACAGTGCTATCAGTTATAGAAGAATGCTGGTAGAGAAGCAATGTCAAGCAACAGGGCTAGTTACCTAACTTTCTGAGTAGCTAAAACAGTACCATATGTTTCATTAGTTCATGGATAACAGTGCAATGGTACCATTTACTGACTGCTTACAATGTTTTAGTTTTGGGAATAGATTTTGGATCCAAAAACCAGCTGGGAAAAAGACTGACACAGTTGGGCTATATGGTTATAATCAGCTACAGCGTCTGTAGATGATACATTTGTCTAGACAAGGTATGGATTTTCTGGTTCTTGCATCCTTGGGAATATGGTTGGAACTGTAGTAAGTGTGGAAGTGTGTTCACATGATTTCGTTTGTTTTTCTTCATGCTGTGTTTTTACAGCATTGAATGTGTGACTCATCAAGAAATACCTGTGTATCAAGAGATGGGTTGATTAGGAAGGAATGGGATATACCTGAATGTGTATTTGGGAAGGGGGGGGATGTTCCTGTATGATATTTTCATTTTAAGTGATATTTTTTGTAAGAAGGTGTACAAGTTCAACCATATTTGCAAAAGGCGTATATCAAGTGTTGATAAGGGAAGCGTATGGAAAGATAAATGAGTCTTCTGATTGAAACATGGTGTTATCAATGCTTTTGCTGAATATTTTTCTAATAGTTCATTTCTTGAGGCACATTTTTTATAATGGCATTAAAATATGTTGGTTGATTAAGTTAGCAAAATAATAAGCTTCCATATTTACTTGATGACCTCTGTATAAAATATGCTACTGCAGAGAAACCCCCTTCCGAACCCCGCATAACTATAGAGTCAAGGAAGTTGTGGGAAGGTTGCAGTTTTCATCCATCGGGCAATATAACTAGCCTACAGCTACATAATTCAGGAAGGACAACCTAGAGGTATGAATTTGTGCTTTGCTGTCATAATATACCAAACAACATCAGTTTTGCCCTTGGGTGTTTTTGAAACCCTAAGTAAAGTTATACTTGATTTTCATCGTCAGAAAGTAGTATGATAGAAGTAAGGTGTACAAGCTGTGTCATAAAGAACGCTATTTTAGCTGAAAAGGTCCATCTGCACTCACTGCCATGTTATTCTAGGTTTGTTGGTTCTTATACAGTTAAAAGGCACCATTGTATATTCATCTGAATGTTCACAGCTAGGATAAAGCCAGATGAGAAGGGAATGGAAGTTGGTTCAATACGGCTGCTCTTTATTTAAACGGAATTACTCATCCATATTCTATTTGGGGGTGGCAGTGGTCTGCCACTTAGTTTGGGTGGCAAGATGTGAATGATAAAACCACCAGAGTGCTCATTATGGTTGATATTTGTTAGTCTGGTTTTTATGTACAGACACAGATGTGTCTGTACATATAGCCATCATCTGCGTCTGTCGTCGCCGTCGCTGTCGTCGCCGTCGTCGCCGTCGCCGTCGCCGTGCACTTTTACCGATAACACGATAAGTGGAAAACCATTTTGCCTTTTGATTTGAAACTTGCAGAACTGATGAATATTCATAAGACGCAGGTCAAGTTCGAAAATCAGCATGATCGGGTCACTCTTAGGGAATTTATGCTGTTTTTTCACTTTTTCAACATATATGCAGCACCGATAACACGATAAGTGGAAAACCATTTTACCTTTTGGCTTGAAACTTACAGAACTGATGAATATTCATAATACGCAGGTCAAGTTCGAAAATCAGCATGATCGGGTCATTTTTAGGGAATTTATGCTGTTTTTTCACTTTTTTCAGCANTTTAATATAACAATTTGCTGATTTCATTGTTTATAAATTAAAAGAAACTTAATCTGTCCAAATATTTACAAAATGTTATGTTAAAGTGGAGCTATTTTACTGTTTAATCCCTTCTGTGCAGATTGAGCTTTTTTACAGTAGTAAGATTTTTTGTGAGATATTGTATGTTTGCTGGACTGGGCTCATGAAGCATTAAGAAAAAAAACTTGCAGAAGCTATGAAAATTAATGAACATGCACCAGAATGCCTTCATTAATTTAAGAAGGAATATATTGAGCTTCATATATTTGATGTAAAGAAAAAGATTTTGGAGTGTCATTTGGGGGTCAGTGCAGTTCTGCAACTTGATCAAGGAATTGAGAATCCAGGTATAAGAATCCTATTGCTCTGAGTTCAGTTAATCGTACTTAAGTGCAAAGTGTTAAAGGCTGAACACCAGGTATATGTTTTTGTTACTAACAAAACTGTTTGTTGTCTGTTCATAAATAGGAGTTCAGGTCTGCTGTGGTTTATGGTTAATACCTGTTATTTGTTTTCACTATATATACAGACTTGTGTAAGTATCAGTTGATTTGTTTGGGTTGTAAGGTAAAAAGGATATATTGGTGGTTTTATTTGCACCCATACCCTGCCTTCTGAATTATACATAAAGTAATAATTATACATTATTACTTTTTACGTTATTACTTCCCTTGTCAGAAGTTTATTTTAAGAAAACAGTGATGACATATTGACAATATTACCTATTGAAATTTTCATAACCATGGCAACTGTAATACCTACATAATGCATGCAGGGCAGTAGACTAAATCTGGAACCTGGTGGTAGATGGCATAACATTACAGGACAATATCAACGAGAAGTTTCTGATTACTATGCTGCTTTCTTCTAGACACATCAGTGGACCAAAGCCCCTTAAAGGCGGTTGCGGCATGGATTGACCTGCACTGTGACAGTAATAACACTGGTATCTATGTACTACATGTATTGTTCGTCCCACTGGAAACTCAGCTGCAAGGCTGTAGAATGATTTTTTTGTTATAGTGAAACGTGTGAGCCTGAAATTATATTTGAATGTGTGCCATTTATAAAGCGTGGCAGTTTGAAGATGTTTTTGAAACTCAAAGATCCCAACACCTTTTCTATTTAATGTTTTTTCATTACTAATGAAACGATGGAATATATGCCAGAAAAAAGTATCAGGGACTACTTTGGAGATTTCACATGGTCTTGTTGTAGCTGTGTTTCCAGGTTTCATATATTACATATGCATTGTATGTGAACTGTTTGATGGAGGTACCTCTTGAATTACATACAAGAACCTCGCTTGAAATGCACATGATGACATGCACAAAACCATTATGCTTTTTTTGGTGGAATTTGTTTACGTTGTCGTCAGTGTTTTGAGAAAAATATCTAGTGCAATTGTCTTTCTTGCTTTAATAGGTATACATTAATGGATAAGATACAGTATAATTTAACCATCATTTGATTGGCAGTTGTTATTTAGCCTGTAGATAGGATATGTACCAAGACAGTTTTAGGAAATATCTCCTTTGTCTTGATATTTACATTACCTACAGGCAGTTTCAACTTCAAGTGACTGATTTTGCAAGCTTTTCCCCCATGTTGACCTGGCAGTTGAAAATACACTTGTAGTGTTGATAATTACCAAAAGTGATTAATTGATTTCTAATGCTTTGAAATGAAGTGATATACTTGGGTCACATGCTTACCTGCTTGCTGGGGGATAGAGGCATCCCTGTTCTTAGGTAAGCACCTGCCTGTAAAAGCCTACTTTGTCCCACAGTGCTTGACCAGCAACCATGCCCCAGCAGCATATTTCCAACATGCTTGTTGACTTCTCAACCTTAGGGACTGCCTTGATGCATGGCATGGATTCTGAGCTAATTTGTAGGTTGTACAGAAGAAAACTACCAATATGAACAGAGATCTGTGATTGTAGTACTTACTTTTTCAGACGTTCAATATAAAGGAATTGACTTTGCATTACATATACATGTATTCATGCAGATTGTCTTTTAAGATGTTGTAAACAGAAGTAATGCAGATAAAAATGTAATGAATGTCTGTTTTGATTGTTTGTAATATTATTTCAGATTTGCATTTTTGTGGTAAGACATGTGGCAACCAAAAATTTCTGCTTAGATGTAGTGCTGGGAATTAGTGTTGTAGAAGCAACAGTAGCATTGGTTGTAGTAGAAGTAGTGATGATAAGCACGGCATCATTCTTGACATGGAGGGGTGATAGTGACATGGTTGATGATAACAAGTTCTGTTATCATGTAATACATGTACTATCGTGCATCAAGGACACAGAATCGTGTCAGAGTGACCTGTTGTTTGATAGAATTTTTCCTTCTGTTTTGTTCTAGAACTCAGTATGAGTGCTGATGCCAGTACAATGGATACAGGGACTGGGAGCCCAGGGAGCAGCCACCCAGGATCCACTACCAGTTCCACACTCCACAGGAGTCCGTCATTGAAGGGTAAGAGTAGTAAGATAGGTTTAACTTTTATATTTGTTTACTTTTCCAAAACCATGTTCAGATTCACTTGGATAGGTTTTTTTAAGGATGACACAGGTTTCAAATAACATTCCACTGTGTAACTGGCAAGGAGAAAATTGACTACATTTCAGAGAATCCTGTTGTGGGAGGGGATGTCATCAACTTTTATCTTACCCTATGGAGACTCTTGCACCTCTTGAAGGGAGCATTCTGAATCTTATCAAACACAACAAAAACTCTGACCCATAGGCGTGCTGACAACTAGATATTGCGTGCACTGCTGAGAAATTGGGCCAGGAGCTGGTTAGTTTTGCCTTGACTGTAAAAACCTTCTCTGGAAATCATAAGGGATTAAGAAACTTCATTTGACATGATGCATGAACTTGCAAAACTGATTATGATGATGACAAGGATTTCCATGCAAATTTAACATAGTCTGTAGGCAGCTGCAGGAGTCATAATGGTTCTGTTGCTGATCTGAATTCTCAAAATGGTTCACAGATCCGTGATGAAGACTACCAGTCCAAATTCTTCCTGTTTTTTCCTTTACAGTTGCTCTGATAAGGATACTAGTGAGAGAGACTCAGACCAGATGTGGTGATATTTAGTATATGCTTATAATCAATCTTGTTGAAGTGGTATTTTAATATACATTGTTTAAAAAAGACTGGAGCAAAACAAATGAGCATAAGCAATTACTTGGTATTAGTAATAGTTGCTAGATTTTCTGTGTAATACCACTTAACAACCTATTTCTTTCCTGCACATGCCAGTCAGGTACCCAATACTTCACTGCAAATTTCTCTAATTTTTATAATAATGGTGCCAGTGTTAAATTCTCTTTTATTTCTGACCAGTTTGATCATCCATTGAATGTATGTGTTATATGATTATACCTGGCAGAGTCTGGAATATAGCCACTTACTGAACTCTTTAAATTATGTATGGATGGGAAATGACATTGATAGTCATATACTGAAGGAAGCTGAGCATTGCTTGATTCATTATTTTTCACATAGGCATGATTAGAATTTGATGTAATAATCCTAATGAAACCCATTTTTATGAAACAAATAACCAAGATTTTCTTATCATTTGATAGAAGAGAAAGACAGTCTTAGGGTGCATTCCCAGAGATTTAGATCGATCCAAAGATTTAGATTTAGATTGACCTAACACCCTTGGGGTTCACGCTAAATTGCAGTCAGCCGAGCGCGCACCACAGTTAATTACCCCCTTACAGCTTTTAGTAGGCGGGACAGATGCTTAAGCCGACTAAGCTGACAGTAATCTAGTGAGACTCCCCACAGGGATAGATCGCTCTAAAATCTATGGGAATGGGGTCTTAGTCTCTTGTAATTTCCAATACAAACACTAACACTACCCGCAGATTTTTTAGCACTAACGCCCATATTGACCACAAAAAACAAATTAGCCAACACACAGTAAAATTATTTAGCACCAACAAAGCGATACCTGTTGCTAACATTCATCCACTCTGGTAGTGCTGGTTAATCTGTAGGTTATGTGGTAATATGGGTGACAGTGCTAAAGGATCTGCAGGTAGTGTTAGTAAACGCCTAATCAATTAATAAGGCCTGATATATGATCCAACTACCATTTTTGCTAATTCAGTACTTGTTTATGGCATACTGGCTGCAGGTGCAAATTTGGCACTTACCAACTTCTAATGCTCGCATTTGCTCTGGTCAGCAATAAGACAGACCCTCTTTCTAAATGTGGCCTTTTTTAAATAACAGTAATTTAGGTTAGTGGCAAAAAATTCTGGTGCGACCTGTGGTTAGAAATCCACATGAGATAACTATATGAAGTAACTGTATGTTAAGAATGTTCTTAACATGGCGTTCAAAGAGAAATTGATTGCTATTGATTAATATCATGCCATTATTCTCGCACAAGGTTAAATGATTCACAAGTATACATTGTATGTGCTGTGCAGAGATGTAAAAGACAGACTGATGGGAGAGTTTGTAGAGGGCATCACAGCTGGCTTTTCAATAATGTGCTGTTATTTGCATAATGCATGCAAGGATAACAGTCCAGAGCACAGAACATGACATCATTTGTCCATTATAAACCTAGACACTGAGGAGACGGTTATAGGCCCATTGTTTGTAGTGTTCTGTAGGCAATGTAACTGATGAGCAGTGATCGAAGGAGAGTTATATGCTGGTTCTTCCGTTGTGCAGGGGCTGAGAGTTATGGTGAGGATATAGAGACATGGAGCAAGACCCAATATGTTTTTTCTTTATTGAATAGATTGTGCTTTTAGGTAGGACAGCAATTGCCTCGATGTAGATCTACCCAAAGAGATGCCATGGTGAATCTCACAAAGTTTGATTATATTAACTATGCACATTACTGTCACTTATGGCAATTACTTTAATGAGATATTTCCATATCACTTTCCAGATCCTGCAAAAATCAAAGAACGAGAAGACAGAGTTAGGCAGATTAGAGAAAAGCAGACTGAAGAACGACAAAAGAAAATTGAAGAGTTGAAGAAAGCTCAGAGAGAGGCACAGGAATTCAGAGAGAAGCAGCAGGAACTGCGACGCAAGAAAATTGAAGAAATGAAAAAGAGGGATGAAGAAAGAAGGCAGGCAGTTGAAGAAAGGAGGAAAAAAGTATTACTAGAGGAACAGGTATTGCAAACACTTAAGCATCCACTATAAGTCCAGTGGGTTTTCTTTATTAATAAAGGATTCTGCTGATTATCATTTTAGCCACACCTTGTAGAATGAGGCCTTTGATAGGCCTTTTGACACCGAGATGACCTAATATTTGACTTAATCTAGAAAAAGTACCAATTGTTGATTGGTTTAGACCATTTGTATATGAGTAGATGCTTTTACTTAATTTTTTCGACAGAGCTTCAGTCAGTTTGAAGGTAAGGTGAGCTTTGAAATTGAGATTTCAGTGGAATGTTTTTCAGCTTGACAACATGGAATGGATAGTTTACATCAAATGTGGAATCCCAATATATTTATATACGGTATATAGCATACTTCATTAAGTGGAAAAGTGTGGATCAAAAAGTGGAATTATGTATTTATTTTTGCAATGACAGCTGCTTCAAGGGGCCAGGTTTTAACATATTTAACATTAATAATGGAATTATTCTCAGCACAACACAAATTGCCACCTTCAGCTCGTGACAGCTGGAATAGCAAAGTACTGAATATCATACTTTTTAATGGAATATTTGTCTGTGAAATACAGCGCAGTTTAGAAATGTCATTTCTAAAAAAACTGTTACACTGTTTATATTAAACACCATCACCATGTCTCTGTCTGCTCTCAGGATTTTCTTTGGGAAAAAATGATTATCAAGGGTTTAAGCCTTTACTAGCATGATCACAAATTTTGATAGTTGACCAAACATGTTATCGATTTAAGACAATATGTAATTACAGTAAAAAGCCAAAGAAAACCAAACATCCATATATCTAAAGTTCTATTTTCATCTTTATAAACGCAATATGTCAATATGCCTGCACAGCAGCATCCTATTCTAGGTAGCCTTATAGCCTCAGTGAAGAGTACTGTCATGCACTATGCTCAATGTAGGTAAATGGGATTTAGTCCTTCAGATTATATAGTAAGGTATGAAAGCAAATATATGTTCAAATCTAGCTCACTTTACTGGTAAGTGACACTCTTTTAACTCTGACCATCTCTGTCTACTTATCACTTTGGACTTTTCAGCAGTTGTGGAAAATGTATGAATCGTGGAAAATGTATGAATCTTTAATATCAGGTGCTTGAATAGTTGGCTGCAAATTGTTCAGTTTAGGATGAGTCATGGTAGTCTATGACAGCAACTCCATTGAGTCATGGCCTTAAGTTTCTGTGTAAAGGTATTATTCCCTCAAAGTAAGTTGGATTATCATTGTTCTTTAGTCACCTTGGTCCCTTGTGTAAAAAATTGCAACTTCTGAACAGTGATTTTGAATGGATAGCTTTAGTCAGATCTGATGATGTTATCTGTGATGATTCTGTAATATAAGCAGAGCAAACAGTATATGTTTAGTCATTCAGCAGTTTTTACTTTTTCAGTGAAACAAACACAATATCACTATTTTCGTGGACTATATCTTATTTATCCTAAAACAAACCACTCTAATTTTCCTGGTCTTAAATAAGTTGAAACTACGTTTTTTCGTGAAATTGAAACTTGCATGTCTAAGAATGTTTCAGAAAGTATTCAAGATTGCACTCAAGGATGGATGAGGATTACCTCTTCCACTAATTTAATTATTACACATGTTCCAACAGGATGAAAACAGGAACCATGTTTACAGTTAGCATTGCTGATTTGGCATTTATGCTTCTTCACATTTTGGGAGAAGCCTTAAAAAAAAAAAAAAAAAAAAAATTGTTAAGTATGCTGAAAAGAAGCTTGCAGTATGTACACATTTCAGCAAATCAATTGGTTTTTGTTTAGCAAACATATCCTCTGTTTTTTCAATGTAATTTAAGTTTGATATATGCATTTATCATTGCATCTCCTGTTTTTCAGGGTAGCATATTCAACCAAGTGTACTTGATGGTACATGAAATGCACACGTTAATGGATGTTTTCATAATTCTTTCTTTTATTTGTTTATTTTCTGTAGGGAGGCTTCTATTTTTTTTTTTTTTTTTTTTTGCAATATGAGACAAAATTAGTGCTATGAGTTCCACTTTGTCGCAAATTGTTATCTTTGTCATTTCCTTGATCCGTTAGTTAGGTCTGTTGTATTGATTATTCTTATCCCTAATTTTAGTGTAATATCACTGCAGTCATTATATGTCTATCTAGAGTTATTTAATTGATATGTAGGTAAGCTAATATGTTTCAGCTGAGATTTAGTGAGGTTATAAAGCGTGATGTATCACATGTCAGTTGAAATAAGGAATTGCAGAACAAAATCTTGATCAGTGTTAATCATTGAAATTGTTTTGAATGAATGAATTTTGTTTATTTCTTGCAGGAAAAAAGAATGGCACTTTTAAAGAAGAATGTGGAAAGGGAAGCACGCATAGACTCTCTGAGATCTAAAAGTAGACATGGGATTTTTGGATTTGGCAGCGGCACTCCCAGGGATATATGTGAGACTCTAAATGCCTCAAAGCGTGCTCAATCTAGCCTTAATTTATCTGCTCATCGCATGACCCCATTTGAGTTCTCTGACTCCTCAGATAGTGAACGTGAGCGCATGCCCCGCCGAGCTGTGTCTGCATGGCATCTTTCACAACCTGCTAGCAATAGTAGCAAGGCGGTGACATCAACCTCTGCCTCTGAAAAGCGTGGTATGCTGTGGCTTTATGAAGCTGTTTTATTTATTTTATTATTATTATTATTATTATTGACAGAAAATCATGTTGATATGCAAATTCCACACAAATCTGGTAAACTGCATTGTCATGTTCTCTCGACTTTTTAACTAAACGCAATATGTGACAGGCTGATCTGAAAAGTGAAGGAAGCCTTATTTCAGCCAGTTGTTAGATGTTTTACTAGGAGAGAAAAGTTTTTTGCATATTGGATTATATTTTGTCAAATACCAAACCAGTATGATTTTCAAATAATTTTACTTGTATGTGTAATCATTTGAGTGGCTTTATGCTAGTGGTAAATGCATTTTAGTTTTGCTTTTCATAAATTGATAATTATTATGTATGTTTTAATTTTTTATTCCCTTAACTTTCTCATATTTTTAAGTAATAACAGATTGTTGTAGAAGCTTTCAAATTTTGTTCCAGATCATTATTGAAACACTTTGAGCAAAAAGATATAAAATTGCTTTGAATGTACCTTTCTTTCCTCTATACAAAATTGCTTTTTGCTTTAAATGTGTGTAGCATTATCGTACTAATGTCTTTCAGATACTTCATTAATGACAGTTCCAGAACATCTTGACAAATGCTACTTTACAATTTACATATACTGCTAGTGATAAAAATATATACAAATATATCACTATTAATATAGAGCTAAATACACAAAATTACTTGATCTTCATTTTTATATAAATCACTTGATTTGATAGCATGACATTGTTTTAGGTATGCCTTCCTTTTTTAGCTGCTTTTGATCTTTTTAAGACTAACTTAAAGATAGCCTGTAGATCATTCTGATAGTTCTGATGTTCTTGTCTGCTGCTCTTTTCTGCATTAGGTTTTCTCTGTAGAAGCATTTTCTTTTCTTTTCTTTTTTCACAGATGCATTTTTTATTTCTTTAAAATCTGCATGATATCTGTGTTTGATTGCATGTCTTCAGGCTCCAGCCCAGAATCAACCTCGCCTACGAAAAACAAGCGTTTGGCTGGCTCTACTCACTTATCTGTCTCCACTTCTGCATTGTTTCGTAAGAAAAATGAGCTGTCCTTGGCTTCATCTGACAGTAGTAGTTCCAGAACCATGTCACCTGGTATGTAGACTAACTGGAATGGTGTGTAACATTACCTGTTGTACAGAGGGAATACAGGTTGACCGTTGCTGTAGGTCTTGTGCTGGCTCCCCTGAGGATGATATATGTGCTGTGTGCATGCCAGTGAGAACTCTCAATAATGAGTGTGCATGTCTGATTATTTGCACAGTATCTAATGGGATAAGCATGATAGTTAGCATTTACACCCAGCATGATGGATAGATGATCAGAAAAAAAGATTATTGCTGCTTGTTTGACTGATTGATTAATATTCTCTTGAATGATTTTGAATTAAGTAGAGTATGCTGTGTTTGCAATTTTATGGTTATATTCTCAATGCTATCTTCAATTTGGCTGGAGAGCATGCAAATAAAAAACATACTCATTTATGCATGTGCTTGATAAATTTCTACTTCATGGCTTTTTGAATGTGCATGTTTAACTTCAGTACTGATTTGGTTGGGAGACTGCACCACCATTTAGCAACCAGACACAAAAACCATATCACATGCTTATTGTTGTACTTAACCTGCTTTATGGCACTGCTTGGCGCAGTTTGAGACGCAGTGAGCTGCACACATTTTTTTATGTCATTGAATCCATTTGTATCCTCACCCAGTAGAAACCAATGCAATAATAGGTGCCTTTTTCCTTTGCAATCTTGGCAATATAGCTTTGTAGCATGCACGTCTCTTTTTTTCTCAGAGTTAAATAGCGTAGTCATTTTGTCATTGTTACCTCATGCTGCAATTTTCGTAACCATTGACATCCCTTTGTTTTATAAAAATCAACAGTTAGCATTTCTAGCATTACGTTTAAATAATTTGTTTTCAATTTAAATTTTGTCCATCTCTGAAATTGTAAATCTATTAAGATCATTGATAGAAGCAGTTAGTGAATAATTTAAAAAAAACTTTTTTTCCTCACATACATATTTAGAATTTTTTCAAAGTTGGAGATTATTTCATGGATTTGCTTTATTTTTGCTTCTTTTTTTTAGCAGTGTTCCCTTCAGTACACAATGATATCCCCATCAAGCGTAGTCCTTGATCACTGATATGCCTCTTGTGACTGCATCTCTGTACAATTAGATAACATTTTAATACACATATTTTTAGGATTTGGTCACACTTGATTTTAAGATTATACAAGTTGCGTAATGAACTAGATACTTAATGAACCACTGATTTTATTGTCTAAGGGAAAATGTGTTTATACATATTTACTGGACTGACAATAGCAGGTGCAGCAGTGAGCATTAAGTAAAACACAAAGTGATGCATGCCCTGTGAATAGAAGCTATTGACCACTTCTTTCCTTTATAAATCAGTCACACTTACAAATCTGCATGCCATACACTGGAGATCAGCTGGTGGCTGTCAGACATTCATTTGTTTAATGTGTAGGTGGCCTACAGAGCAGTCACATATGGTTATTGAGTGATTAATCACAAATGCTTGGTTTCTCCCATCTCTGTGTTGGCTGGCTGGCTGACAAAAAGGGGCGGTACCCAAGTTGATCATGCACGTTTTGTTCTTAATAAAAAATTTTATGGGAGCTTCTTTCACACATTTTTGTAATAGAAATATATTCATAAAAATGTTGTTGCTTAAAAATTGAAAGTGAATAGTTATATAAGCTTATAATTTTCATATTTACCAATTTTTAAAAAGCTTTTCTGTGTAAAACATGTTTTTAGTGCATGAACACACAGGTACCTCAACAATTGCAATGGAAGTGGCATGGTGGAGGGAAATGAAAAAAATGTTGGTGTTGGGATTTGGCCTTTTTAAGGCAATAACATTATTAACAGGTCTATTTCACCATGCTGACTTCAGGTCTTAAGGCCATCTCGGAAATCCGCCTCAACTCTTTTCTAGCCCCTTATGTTTCTCATCAACGTCGTCGCCCTCACAGCACTACGCGCTTAGAGCAAAGAAGTACTGTCGAATGCAAATATCATGTCCCACAACATCGGCGGCCGCATAGCTGCACCCGTCTAGATCAGTATGGGCAACCTGAATGGATTCCTGTTATACGCAGGGTGGCTGAGCGTAAGGCACGCCCCCGTAGCTTTGCAGGCACCTCAGCTGGTGTGCCTCCATCGCCTGTCAGAGTGAGACAGAGCCGTAGTACAGAGAGAAAGGCCAGAGGTATATTAACCGTACTAACATAGGGTTACTGAAGGCATTTGGGTGTTATTGATCATTTGGGTTCTTTTGGTTGCAGGGCATAAAGCAGGTCAGAACACAATCAGAAATTATTTACTTTTCTTCTACTGTTCTCTTTAATTCACATAAGAAAAAAATACTTTCAAGTTTGTTAAAAGAAAAACCTGCTTCTAGTCCTGATATTATAAAACAAACTTCAAAAACATGTCTTTAAATATTGGTGTCAGTCGAAACTCTGTGAGTGGTGATGGTTTCCTCTCTGTAACCTTTCTATCTATGTCTGAGTGAAATAGAGAGGAGTGTTTTGTGCCTGTGGTGCTGTTTATTGTGGAAGTGATTTGATTTTGATACATGAGAAGTCTGATTATTGGTGTTATGGATATGTGTGAATATTTTTCATCACTTGATTGTTGTCTTTTCTGGATGTTTTATCAAAATGGTAGGTGTACCCAAGTTCTGTTTTAGCCTCTACTCTTGAGTTAATGTATTATTGATTTTTGTAGTGCTTTACTGAGCATATAAAACATTGAAAGAATAAAAAAGGCTTTATATTGTACTCTGATAAATATTTTAGAATTTGTATATTCTTAGGGCTTGAGTGTCAGTCTGCCAGTTGATATGAAACTATACGTGTTCCCTAAGTCGTATTGAATAATTATGCAGGTGACACTTCTCGCTCCCACCAAGATTTAAACAAGCCCTTGAAGCCAGAGATCCAGCGTGCTATGGAAAGGTTGTCTCAGCCAAGGACTCCCCCTAAGCCAACAGTGGAAGACAAGGGTGAAACATCAACACCTCCCTCACATACAAAGACAGAGATTAAAAAGACTGTAGAGAGACTGGCTCAGCCCAAGACCCCCTCAAAGCCACCTTCAGAAAGTAGTGATCACAAAGAGGAAGAGAAACATGCTACCCCTCTTAAGCCAGAGATTAAACGTAGTATAGACAGGCTAGCTCAGCCAAAAACTCCGGTGAAGGCAGAAGATAAAGTAAATCATTCTACTCCCCCTCCCAGCAAGAAGACAGCTAGGGACAGGGCCTCCCCTGCTCCAAGGGAAAGAGCATCACCTGCTCCTGCTAAAGAGGGAGTGTCCCCAGGACCTACTGCAAAGAGAGGTAAAAAAGATGAAGAAAATTTAAAGATGAAAAAGAAGTCCATAGACAGCATGGTACCACCAGCAAGGAAAGCTAGCCCTGAAGAAGCATCCCCTGGTTCAGCAGCCAAAACAGGTTCCCCTGTTCATGTTAAAAGAGCAAGCAAGGAGAGAACTCCCCAAAAGGTAATGATGTTATTAATTTATGTAGCTAGAACTAACTTACCTCATTTGTGTGTTTCCAGCAAAGCACTTGCAGCTTTGAACCAAATGTCAACATCCCCTCCCTTGTGTTTGATTTCCTACTGCATGTTATTTAATTTAGAATTATTCTTTCTTTTTAGTCATGTATAGGAGTACTGTTTAACTGATTTATTCAATTCCAAATTATCTCTGATATTATTTTTTTCAATGAGAAGGACATTTCCTTGTTTTCACTTGTTCAGTTTTAAGATGATCATTTATGTAACCCTATTGTCCTGTAAAGAGCTTTTTGATGCTTTGTGCAATAATTCTGTCCTTCTAAAGCTGCTACAAATATGATCAAAATTGACGCTTTATTGATTGTTTGTTATTAACACACATAAATTTATATATGAATAATTATGTAAATAAGTACAGAGTTATGACCTTCTCATTTCTATTGATATTGTGCATTATGACTCGACTTGCATTCTCCCTCCAACTTGATTGTGCTTGTGCTTGTGTGCAATTTTCTTTTCTTGGCTATCAAATTGTGCCATGCTTACAGGGTCCTATGCGTGCTGTGAAAGTCCACAAAACGCCAGTTTCCATTCTCAAAAAGGTTGGTGTTCCTATCTTTCCTCACTTCATTTATCTTTTTATTATTATCATCACATTTAGTTGTTGCAAAAAAAAAATTGACTTGATGTGCTATAGATTGCTTTAGTCTTGCATGTAATGCAAAATAGCCTTAATTTTCTATTTACTTTGTTTGTAATAGTAGATTAGCTTTATGTGAAAGTTAAATATTAAGGAATATTAGAAAGAATATCATGACTATCTGAAATACTGATAAATGTTTAGATACCTTTTTGTTGACCTGTATGTTATATATGTTTCACTAAAATGTCGAGAAGTATTTTCTTATTTATATTTCTTGATGACATTTTGCTTGCAGCTTATAAGGGTTGATATGCAATGATAATCAATAGATATGAATGATAAATAGGTTAAATAATTGTGAATGTTTTTGCTTCATTTGATGAGCTCTGCAAATGATATTCTTCCTGCTTTGGTATATTTAAAAGTAGAGACTGCATTTAATGTCATGTCATTTTTGGACAATTTGATTAATCTTTTAGGCCTTTTTTTCACTAAGTGTAAGGTTTTTATTTGCTAAGTACTAGTTATTTTGTGTTATGAAGCTGGAAATAAAAGTGGTATTTTCAGAGGCTTTCTTTATATCTCTTACTCTCAGATTTGGAAGTGCTTGCACATTTAAATCTCATGGTAATGCCTTTATTTACATATTCAAACGTTCCATACAGCGAAAAATCTAGCACCATGAAAAAAATAAAATGTTCACCTTTAAAATCCTTAAAGAAACTGCTGTTTTTGTTTTTGTGTCATTGTCTCGATATTCTTGTGAAATCAGAGTAGCTGTAAAGAAATATGATTAACCCCATTGCAAATACTGCCAAGACTCCTTCTGGCAGATTTTATTTCATTTGAACCCTCAAGGCATTTGGTTGTATGGTAGTGTTTATATGTATTTTCTGCAGTATTTAAAACTAGATTAAAAGGCTCAAGGATTCTCTCAAACATACATGTTATACGTGTCTATTTTCTTTCAGTCAAGTGGAGATTCCCCAAGAGAACCCAAACCAGAAGAGCCTAAAACCATCAAGTTTGTGGATTCAGTACAAGGTGGGGCATCAGAAACTGCACTGTCCCCAGGGGCTGAGAAAGAAACCCAGGAGGAAAAGCCACTTGAAGTTGAAGGTAAGGTTTGAAAGAAGCTTGGTATGATATAAGGCATCCAACCTTACAGATTTATTTTTGTAATGAAGAGAAATTGATATTGAATTTCTTGTGAGTACCACGTCTTGCCATAAAGTAAAGTGATATTGATTATAAATCATGCTATGCATCTCAGCTGAATGTTTTCAGGTCTTGCACTTAAACCTGAAGTGATTGTATCTGATATATCTTAGGGGTGATGGAGATACAAATATTTTTTTAATAATTTTATCAAAAATGTTCCATTTCTTTACACAGAAAAGTTAATAGTGAAAGAAGAGAAGCCTCTGCCCCCACCAGTTCCAGGAGCTGAAGTAGAAATAACAGTTAGTGCAGCATCTGAGGAACCTGAAGCACAGGGGATAGCAGTAGACAAAGGTGCAGCAGAACAACTAGCAGAGCATTTAGCACAGCAGCTGGAAGATACCACAGCACCTACACAGCTTGAAGTCACAGAAGAACAAGCTCATCCAGAGGTTGAAGAACACCCAGTAGTACCAACAAAGAAGTCGGAGCCAGTGCTTCCTAAGCAGCCAGAAGTAGAGGCACCACTGCCAGCAGAGGTGAAAACAAAGACACCACCACAGAAAGAGTCACCACCATCAACACCAGAGAAGAAAGTGAAGGAGAGTAACAAGCCTGCTCAGTCCCCAGCCCTGCAAGCCAAGGAGAAACCTCTGACAGAGGAAGAGATTTACAAAGCTAAGCTGGCAGAGAAGAGACGTGAAGCCAGAGAGAAAGCTGAAAGAGAAGCAGAACTAGAGAGACAGAGGCAGGAAGAACTGAGGTATCATCAATAGCTTGGTTGCATATACATACCAAGCAACAGCAACATTAAGTTCAGATAATGTGAACTCAAGAAACTCTGAGTTAATTCAGAGGAATTTGGCAAATGCAATTCAGAACTTTGAATCCATTGAATCTGTTTGGTAATTTCTTTCTTTTTAATGTCTTAATTTATGCCTCCTCATTGTCTAGTTCTGATTTCCGGTAGAGATATTTCTGAAATGATTCATATATTGATGCTGGCTCGAACAGAAACTGATTAGATTCTTGACTGTTCCAGTAACTTCAATATATTGTCATGGTTATGATGATAAGTGTTTACCTTCAGACGCCAAGAGGAAGAAAAGCGCAGACGTGAGGAAGAAGAACAAAAACGTTTTGAGGAGGAAGAACTAAGAATGGCTGCAGAAGCAAAACGTATTGAAGAGGAAAGATTAAGGAAAGCTATTGAAGAGGCTGACAGAAGGAGGAAAGAAGAAGAAGAGAGGATAGAAAGAGAGCAGAAAGAGGTATCAGTATGATACATTGTTAAATAAATAAAAAATGAATGCTCAAACTTTTCATTTTGAAGCACTTTCCAATCATTAGTCAATTAGTCAAATTACAAAATAAAAGTGAAATAGCATCTCTTTTAAATGTATCAAGCACTAGCTATTAATGGGAAACATTTTGTCGTATATAGAAAGAAGAGGCAGAAGCCAGAGCCCGTGAAGAAGCAGAGCGCCTGGAAAAAGAACGTCTGGAGAGAATCAAGCGTGAGGAGGCGGAGAGACTGGAGAGAAAGAAGGTACTGTCAATTTAACAAGTTCAATGTTATTTGGTAATGGAAATTATATTTGGTGTTTACATATGTCATTGTTAGCCTCCAGTTAACTCCATTGATGAGAGAAATTTTATCTGTGGAAGCCTGCATGACTTCATTAGACAGTTGCTTCAAATTCTGTATGTGACATAGGTGGACTTGTATCTTTTGCTTGTACTTTCAGCGCTTAGAAATGATTATGAGAAGGGTGAAGACTGACAATTCTGATTCCTCTCCATCTAAGGTATTTATTTTCCTGGTCTGATATATGAAAGAAAAAATGTTTAATGGGGAACAATACCAGTCTTGTATTGGAAATTCATGAAACATGCGCTCCTCTCTAGAAACACATTCATAAATTCCAACTACAAATGCGCCATTAACTGTGACAGATTTGTGATGTGTTTGAAAATTAAATGTTGACATGCTAGAATGTAAACTCAAAGCACATATCTTTTCAAAATAATGTTTGAAATGGGTTGCATCCAATTTTTAATGTTTTTCAAGTGTGCTTTCAACTTTTCTCATGCAATATCACAGAGCAGCAACACTACTCCAGCTAGTAACAATACTCCAGTGAAAGCAGAGGAGCCAAAACCAGAACAAAAACAGGAGGAATCACAGCCAGAGGTGCAACAGACTACAGAAACATCTCAGCCACAGAAAGAGCAAACTCAAGAGGAACAAGTTGAACCTCCTGTACAAAAACAAGAACTAGGGTCCTCAGAGGAGAGCACTCCCACAGCAAGTCCACGCCCCTCCAGTCCTGCTTTAGCAGTGCGCCCTGCTAGTCCTGCACTCGCTGCTGATGGTGACAAGCCAAAATTCAAATCCCCACTTCTTCAAAATCTACTGGGACGGGGAAAAATTGGAAATCGTGCTCAGTCTCCTTCAAAAGAGTTACTGGCTGATAGAGAAGAGGCAAAGGAAGAGCAAAGGGGAGAAGCAAAAGAAAAAGTTTCTCAAGCAGATGAAGATAAGGATGTAGACACTAAGGAAAGCACAGAACATGATCACAAAAAAGATGACATTGTTTCGAAACCCGAGCCTTCAACTGAGTTGGCAAGCTTGGGTGTCATGACATTAGACTTTTCGACACCTCTCAATCCAAGTGAAGAATCAACGGAGAGGGGAATCTCTGAATCTAGCCCTGATAAGCATACCCTCCAAGTTTCTTGTGATACAAAGAATGGACCTTTAATATCTGTGAATGATGATGCACAGGAAATAATCAGTGTGAATGAACAGGAGTCTGGCAGCTCAGAACAGACTGGTGATGTTAATGGGATGAATGAATCCAATCCTTTTGCTCAAGACTTGAGACAGATTGTTGCAGAAAGGTATGTATTGAAAGGAATTTGATGAAATGTTCATTAAAAGTGCACTAGTTTAATATGATAAGATGGTTCTAACCATGTATATAGCCCTTAATTTTAAACATTTCAAGATGGTTTTAGCTGGAATCATTTACAAATATTTTTAATAGACTGCGATATCCTTAACTCAGGGAGGGTAAAACAGAGGAAAACTGAACTTGATGATTTTCAGTTTGTTGTGTATATAATTCTCTTGGTATATAATGCCAATATAAAAAGTATAGACATGAGCAAATTACAGAACTTTGTAACTTAGAATTTCTTCATTGTATAGTGTGTAGAACCTAAATACAAGAAAGTCGTTGAATTTTTTATAAAGCTATTCTCTATTCTAGCCTCCTATCATCTCAACAAGGGGCTTCTATGAGTAATGGTGGGGGAGATGCAGATCATCACCAACCACCACCACAGCAGCAGTCCTCAGACTTTGAAGAACTAATCGATCTGTCATCAAAAACGAACAATAATATTCAGCAACAGAATGGGTCTCATCCTCATGACCTGCCTAAGGGGCTAGGAGACCCTTTTATAGCATTTGAAGAACCCTCTCCCAAAACTCCCCCTAGTAAACAGGAGAATATAGCAGGTAGAATGCATGTCTGTGGAGACGGTGGTGGTGGTGGGGAGACTGGAGTGAGGGAGGAAAATGCATGTAAAACTAGGGCATGCAAATTAGGTCAAAGTCAAAGATGCAAAGGTGCAAAGATTAGTGCAGAAACTGGTCAGGTAACAATGAGATAGGCAGGCATTTTTAGGGGAAAAAGTTATTTTTCATTATTTGCAGTACACAAATATGTGATCTTATCTTTAATTACAGAAAAAGAATTAATGAAAGAAAAAAGTTTTATTTGCATAAAATGATTTATTGAGGTAAAAATGTAGTTTTTCATATTATTTCCTCTATTTAAATTATTTTTCTCCTTAAACTTCAATGAATAGTTAGGTTGGTACTTCGTGTGTCTGTTCTGTCATTTTAGTTGCACCATTTCTGCACTAAGACTGTTCCTCCATCCCTCCAATTTCTCAATTTATAGTTTGCTGACGTCGTATGTATACACATGTATGTGTATTATTGGTTTTAACAATTTGTTTGTACTTTAACAAGCTTCAAATGTAACATATTCTTATCATAGATAGTATAGATATAATGTATGTGCATTTTGGTAGGTAGCGATTGTTTTATCATATTGACTCTCAGAAATAAACATTGGTATTTGTCTGTTATTGCTTTAAGCTACATATGAAGCGAGGGTAAACATCCTACAACTTATATGAATTATTAGTGCCAGTTCCTCACACAACAGAAATAAAATCCATGAGTCAAAAAAAAATTCTCATGGGCAGCAGAAAAGGGCTTTATAACTGCACCCTCTCCAAATTTCTGGTTTTAAGTTTGACCTACTTATTTCCCTTCCGTTCCAAATGACACAATGTAAGAAAAAGGTATCTGTGTGAATACCATTTTGGGGGGAAATAATATAAGGAAACTAAGTTTATTAAAAGTTTCCTTTTAACTATTTGAAACTATATGGCAGCATTTGGTTTGTTTCATGGCAATAATTTGATATAAGTACTCGCTGAATATGCATCCTATAAGTATTTGTACTGTTTATATATTTTTATCATACAATATTAAAACCAAACTTCCTGCAGTATATGTGGAAATTTGACTTCTGTTCTTCACAAGAAACTAATTTTTACATTTCAGATCTCCTGTCATAACACTTTGAATACAGATGTAAAAACTGACTTTCTGCCGTGCTACATTGATGTTGTTGATGGTTATTCAAGTACAACCCCCTATGTAAATGTGCACCAGCAGAATGGTGACTGTGAAGAAGCAATGCATGAGGAAACTAGAGAAGCTTGGACACTGGCTGAGACTGCCATGCAGTCCTGTGAGGAGGGCGTGATCCGAGAACTGATGCATCATGGGATAGGAGCAGGAGATGATGACAGTGAGAGTGAGGAGGGACAGATATGGAAAATGGTCCAGGGCGAGATACCATATACGCTAGATATGGTATAAACCCCAGCCACCATGATAGAAGGATTGATGGAGGAGAAAAGCAGATATAATCAAATTGTGCTTTCTAAAGTAAAAAAAGAGTAGAGTTTTTGTCTGAACAGACCTAACCAAAAGCAGTAAAAAATGATGGAGAATGTATTTGGTGATTGTTATACTGATTACACATATGAAGATGTCAGACTTCACCAGTGACTGCTAATTGTTCAATTATGCCTAGGTTACATTTGACATGCAATGTGCATATGGAGCTTGTATCATGCCAGTATATTCCTTTCTCTGCAACCTCAGAAAGAAAGTTGTGCATCTTTGATTTTGCCAAGCCGCTGAAAATTATGACAATTTTTAAAATTGTAAATATGTTACCCATAGCTGTGTCAAAGGTTGCATTGCAAAAGCTCATATAGGACTAACACTGACTGTGAAGCAATGCAAAAACATGGAAGTGGCAAGAATTGTTAAGGAGGTTGAATACAAGGCTCATCCTGCAAATAGATTTCTTTTGACCTAACCTCTAGGTCATGTACAAGTTAAGGCACTATGCTTGTATATAATGTAAACATGCTGTAGCCAGTAAGATGCCAACATAATTGCAAGTAAAATCATATACCATTTTGTTGCATGGCACACAAGGCAAATGTAACCTAGGCCTTAATCAAGATTTTTTTGTTCTGTTAATCTCGCCTTTTTAGGCTGTGAACCTAGTCAAGATGTTTCAAAACGTGTGAGCTTTTGGTGTAGGTAATGTGTGATATCACAATCTTCTGTGCCTCAGCTTACGTACTGCAGTGTGTTGGTTGGAGTGGAGCAGTGTGATAGGATTCCAGATGGATTTGTGTGCCAGGGTTTTCATCTAATCAGTCCCAACTCAGAACTACAAATATAGAGATGTCTTTATATATCTGTTCAGATACAGGTTTAATATATTTTTAAGCTGTTGCATAGAAAAAGTGGTATAGTACAATGATGTACTGTATAAAATAGCCACTGGATTGAGGTGTACTAAAGATTAATAAATTAAAATAAGCCACCCAAAGATGGGATTACATTTAATGAACCTGGCCCAAGCATATTTGGTTTCTTGTTTTGAGCTCATAATCCACGTGTTAAAATGGGGAAAATGAAACATTCCCTTGTGATGCTGATACTATCATAGAATATCTTATTAGAGATGCTGGACTATTGTTTTTTTTTATATACTACAACTATAATAGCTTGGAGATTTACAGGAATTATTCTTGTTGCCTAAGAAGGGCAAAGTTTCTATTCAGACAACCTGCCAATATCATTATCTGTACACTTCAACAATACTGAAATGTTCTTTGGAAATTTAAAAAGGAATTGCGATACAAGTTTGGCAAGTAAGAAAAGTACAAACATATTTAAGATGTCAATGCTTATTGGATTGACAAACTTGATTTAGAATGTACTAGTATTTGATTCCATGGCTATAATATGCCAACGGTGACTCTGTTTAATCATCTTAAATACATGCCAATATTGATTTCAAGATAGCATCTAAAGATGTACTGGCATGGACAAAATGTTACTAACTACTGCATTATAATTAATTTAATTCAAAGAAATCAGGTTACTTCTAACCAGTGCAATATATAAGGTACCACCTGTTGGATTCATAACATTACTTACTGTTATTTATTGTTATGGACTTCCAGCTAATAAATATTTACTTGTACTTAAATTAGTGTTAGATTGATTCTAATTGTTCATCTTTTTGGTGATGAAAGTATAACTTGACTTTCCTTAGTGCACATTAAACAGAAAAAAAAAGTTAATCAAAGTGAAAATGATTGTATAGTGTATAAAGCATTGAATTTGTTTTTAGAAATTTCAAGTTTGGTTCATACTCGTGTATTTGAGAATTTTGGCAGGAATTTAAGTCAGCAAACTCATCTAACAAAGTAAAAATACTTTTTGCGCTGAATCAGTTATTTTATTTCGTCCAAAACTGATATACAATACTTTTGAAACAAAAACAAACTATGTAAGGGAAAATAATAACACTGAAATCCCCCAAAGTATTCAGTGCTGCTATCAGTTCTGTACTGTCTTGAGCAAATACCGTTTTACGCATAATCGGTCTTGTATTAATCCCTTTTTAAGTCTACTTCCACGTAAACTTCAACTTTTTGTCACCTTTATTAAATTTTGTCAGAAATAATGCAAATGTAAGAATCACGATGGTGAGCTGATTGTTTGAGAATAAGAGGTGAAGATGGCATATGCCAACCAGCTAAAGAATCTGTTGGCTAAGGTCAGAGAGGACCCACTGGCCGCGGATATGCACTGGAGTTTGTTTATGTCTGCGCTGCAAAGTTATAGACATGACACAGTGCTTAGACCTTTCCCACCTAAGTTCCAAGAAGAAAACTCTGACGAAAAAGATTATAAGGCGCTTGTGAGTAAACATATCAGTCTGCATGAATAATTAGTACTAGTACCAAGTATGCATTTAGGAAGGATGGAAACAGGGAAAAAACAGAGGGGGTGGGGTCCGATGGCAGTGTTAAAGCATTGTCTTTTAAATCAAACTTCAAATTGATTCATTGTCATTGAGCTTACAGAATAGTGAACCTTTTGGTGTTTAGAATGTTCTGTTTATAAAAACGCTTGAATCATTTTTAATCTTTAAGTTAAAACTATTTTGGACCAATTTGAAAGCGAAAAGCAGAAACATTTACACTTAAATTTCTTAGTAATTTCAAGTAAGTAAATATAGGTACCCTAGCAGCCTAAGGTTTTATATGTAACTATATAGAATGTGATTATGTATTTAATACATAAGCAAAATTGAACTCAAAAATAAATGCTTTCTTAACCATTTAAATTGAACAACATGTTTTGTTCTCCAAGACCAAACTTGCCAATCAAGTTCCCAACATTGAGGCATTAGCAGCAGAAAGTCAGGTTGATGATGATACTTTGCAACTCCTCAGTTGGGCAGTGTTGGAAAGAAACTTTCACCTCAAAACCTGTGATAAAACCATGGTAAGTGTTATTGTAAAAATCAGATATATTACTAAAAAAAGTAAAAAATGGATGAAGTTTTCACTTTGAATTATTATAATCTAGGGAGCAGGAAATACATGTCTTTCCTCTGGAATTTACAAAAATAATTTGTGAGAAAGTTTTCACTGTCACAATACAAATCTCAATCGTAGTTAAAGCAGTTTACGTAACCAACATAGGTTCCAGCTTTTTATTTTTCATTTTAAAACATCTCTTTCCAGTATCAAACAATACAAACCAAGGCTGGCCAAATAGTTCCAGTGCCTGCCCCTAACTACATATTTGAAGTGGAGTACAACCAAATGTGCAATGAAAAATTTGAAAAGATTTGCCAAGGCAGGGATCTAATCTATGCATACCATGGGAGTAGGGTGGAAAACTTTCATTCCATATTAAATCTCGGGCTTCACTCACACATGAATAAGGTAAAAGTAATATTGTTCTAGAAGGTAGGATTTTGGTTCCATACTTGTGATAGCAAACTAATCAAAGTGGTCATCTCTTAATGTCCCTGCAACATCACTTCGCTGCATCATTAGTCAATTCAACATGCAAATCTTAACTCCCTCTAGCAAAATTAGGATATTACCCACAACATTGCAATATATCCCTGTAGTGTTTCTCCCCCTCCTTGATTTTTGAATGATAATTTGAAAAAATTGTCACTTTTGGGTCCTGGGGTTTCCAATATGGTTTTAAAGTTATTTTTGATGTGTCTCATTTTCACTGGTTGTAAGTAATGGTGCAGGGAAGTAAAAGTTAAGGGATGTAACTGAATCAAACTTGTGTCAAAATGAGATGGTCATAGTGGGAAAGCTTAAAGCTTGCCAAAAACCTTGTTTGGACCCATGCCTTCTGTTGGAAGATAGTATCAGCTGTTACTCTGTAAATTGATGCTAAAAATTTTGCTTTCACATTCTGAGTAGTGTCCTTTCTGGTGGCCTTACCCTCTGTTTTTATGAAATGATATTTACACTTATTTGACAAATTCATCATTCCCTATTCCAGACTTCTCTTTTTGGGGAAGGTACTTATCTCTCCAGTGAATTGTCTGTGTCCATAGTCTACAGTCCTGCTGGGCAGCTGTGGGAGAGTAGTATGTTGGGGAGTGGTGCAAGCATTATAGCACTCTGTGAAATCATTGATGATCCCACTGTCAAATGTCAAGTGAAAGGCAAGATAGAAGAACGAAAATTTTTTTAAAGTTAAACATTTCTTACTAATTTAACTGAATGTTTAAAGTTAAATTTAGCTGTTTTATGAGGTACTTCACAAGACACAATCTTCTACATGCAAGTATCTGCAAAATGCTTAGATAGGATCATTCTGCTTACTAATTTTAAATGAAGGTTTAATAAAAGTTAATTATAGCTTTTTCATGCAGTATGTCACAAGACACAATCTTCTACAAACAAGTATGATCAACAAAATGCTTCATCTGTAGGATCATTCCCAAAACAAAAAGGTCAAAAGCATAAGTGTATTCTTAGTTTCTCCTCTTCACTGAAATGTTAACCACATTTATATGGTATAAAATGTTTAGGAGACAAAGAGGAGTCTGGGAAGGCCAGGAGACGTGTCAAGGGCAGCATGGGTGGTGACGTGCCAGAGAAGTACTATGTTGTTCAAAACAATGAAATGCTGAGAGTGAAATACTTGTTGGTCTATGTAAACAAACAATTCACCCGAACTGCTACAAGGTAGGCATATTGATTGATGTTTGTAGGGTCACTGTTCAATGTTGCAAAATGACCACTAGCTATAAATGAGAAACTTTCAAAGATAGAATGCTCTTAGGAAGGCAAAAAGGTATTTTAAATTGAAATTGTTGCATGAGATGGTGGGAAGCTAGGCTGCTGCAGTTTTTCCATTATTCATTTTATTGTGAAATTCACAATATTTTACTTGGATAGGAAACATTTGTAAGTGGCATTGACATTATTCTCTTACACTTCTTAAAATTCCAGAATTGTTTTCTTTTAATTTATATGAAAAGTTTTAAAGTGGAAATGGAATTTTGTTCTGTTACATATACCACTGTCACAGTGAAAAAATTCCATGTTCTTGTCTAGATAGTCTTTTGCACCACTGTTCTAAATCATTTCAAATTACGTTTAAATTTTTTTTCAGAAATTCCAGAATCTCTCAACCTTCCTGGTTGGCTGAACACAAATTCCTAATGATGGTGTTATGTTATGCCCTGTTACTGGTTGCCATAGGTCTTGCCAACTCTAAGTCTTTGCAGCAATACATGAGGAGGCTGAGATGACTACAACCACATGGATCCATGGCACAGTTTTATATGATACAATGATCAGATATCAGAGAAGGAAGCACAAAGAATTACTCAAAATTTCATGCTGACTTTCTCATTTCAGTCCCATTAAATGTGTTTGTCCTTACAAGAACTTAATGTTTTGCCTTCTGGGTTACGTATTGAAATTCCCACTTCTACTGAGGCAGTCAACTATTTTCATGATCTGTTCTTATGAGTAGACCAAAATGACAATTACTTAAATTAGGTCAACCCAGGTAAATAAAAATATTATAGAAGAACAAAACTGTGTAGTATATAATATTAAAAATGGAACCATATTGTTGTTAGTTTAGCAGTACACAACAGAATGAGAAAGATCACCTACCACATTCCAACTAAAAAACTTACAACAGTTTGATCAGCTTTAAAAAAAAACAATCCCTCTTAGGACTTGAATGCAGTAAACAAGCAAGATATAACAGGAAGCTTTCAAATGAGGGGAATAAATGACTGTAAAAAAAAAGATGGTCTACCACCCTTTTGTTATGTAAGACCAATATTGGATGTTCAATGAGATACAATTATATGCATAGGTCAAGTTACTTAACACCACACAATAAATGGTGTTTGAGTGCAAAATCCTCCACAATAATTGTATTAAAAATAAATAACTAACAAATAAGTGTTCAATGTTTATTTGCTTTTGTTATGTCACTGAATAAGTGTGCAAAAGGATCCCTTTTAGAACCTACAAATAATACCTTGGAAGAGAATTTTATAAAATTACATAAGTCGCATGACTTGTGTCTATGAAATGAATATAAAAATTGGATGATGAAACTTGGATGCTGCAGCAACCTGAATTCATTATGTAGTAAGTTTTACTGTTTGTATTATCATTCTTTTTCTGATTTAGAAATTGATATTGAAAAAAAGAAATATTTTAAAGTCAAATAAAATCAAAAACATCATCTTGTATTGTTCTAAATTTGACTGAATTTCATGAGGAGAAACTATGGCACTGTACATCAAAATTTCTACTCCACAATACAGTTACACTTTGATGAATTTTTCCTAGTTTTCTTGAAGTGCAAGTTGTATGTGCAAGAGTATTCTCTTCTGTTTCATATTTTGCACTTTGGTAACAAGGGCATGTTTATTCACTAGAATGTCTAACATGAAAGTTGACAATGTATTCTGCATTAGTTCTTTGCACACTTATTGCAAATGGCTGACATGGATGGAAGGTGAATGCTACAAGCCTTCTTGCTGCTGGTGGTGGATTACGACCAAGGACTCCTGCATAAATTTTGAATTTCAACAACCCCGAGTCTCTGGCATAGAATCTGTAAACAGTAAAATAACTCTCAATCAACTGACATGTATATCCTTGCATGAAAATGATCCATAAACCTAAACCTTTCCTTTGTAAAAAAAATCCTAACTATTAAGAACATACAACTGTCCTAATCAAGCTTGTTTCTACAGAAATTATTATGTAATCAATTTAGTTACGTGGATGTAGTACATGCACACACACACAAAAGAAAAAAATCTAGGATTATTCAATAAGTGGGACCAGCTTTCCAAATTAATCCTATCACTGGATGGAATAACATCCTTAACAGGCAACAACTAGCTTCATTTCTGACAAATCATGTAATCCAACTGTGTAATTTAGCCAACTTATGATAATAAATTGGTATGATTAAAACTGATGAGATTTTAGCATATTAGGTTTTATAACTGCAAACCTTTTGCGACATGTCACAATATGGTAGATGTATAAAAAAATTCACTAAATAGTTCACAAACTGATCACAGAAATAAACACTATGTAGATCAGCCATAAACAAATGTTCCTTCTATCCCCCCCC